CTGTACAGTATATCTCTTAACTGTACGTTGACTGGATTTACTCGAGCTCGCGCGTTAGTTTGGAAACAGCTATCATCGATAAGTAAAAATTTTCATGTTATCATCTTTGAGGTCATCAAAGATTTCTTACTCTGTATCTAGCTGCATAAGGCCTAGGGCAAACGTCGAACTTTCCTTGCACCGAACTTAATTACATCAAAGAATGCCGCCTCATTATCACCTGATATCCGTTGAAATTATCCTATTCGTAGTTCCTTTATTACAGTAATAATTATCTTGCGACTGTTATACGAAAGTGTAGTTGAATAAGAGACTATTTTTCTTTTGTTTTTAGAGACTCTGGGGACAAGAGTAAGATAATAATAATGAGATTTTATATCCAATTCCAGTGCCATAGAATTCGAAGAGGGTTTTGGTATCGAGACACGGAAAATTKAATAGATTTAGATTGTACTTCATAATATCGTTAAGCCCCGTTTACACTAGCGATTTTTGCGGCGATTTTTGCTGCGATTGTTTGCGATTTTGTCCATAATAAATAATGGTAAAGAATTTACTTATAAAGTTTTTTTCAGGATACCAAGATTTTCCTAGACGAATGTCTCTTTTGAAGGATGAGACAAAAGATTTCATGTTTCCGAAAATTGCAACAAGAAATTGCAGCAAAAATCGCCGCAAAAATTGCCAGTGTAAACGGGGCTTAACAATATTATGAAGTACAATCTAAATCTATTCAAGTTTTCGTTTTTTTCAGGTTTTTTTCTAAATAAAAAAAGTTTAAGTCAGATAGACATATTTTCGCATAATTAAGTAATAAACGCAAAGTGCTGTGACAATTGAAGGGTTTTCCTTCCGGGATTGGTTTTGATTGGTTCAGGGTACTRTATCTATTAGAGTTTCCTTCCGTGGTTGGATGAAATGTGACTATTAGTCCAAAGGGTTTTTTTCCGTGATTGGATGTAATGTGCTTGTCCATCTGTTCTGATTGGTTCASGGCGGGGAAGCCATTTGAGAGTCAAGTTCGCGTGTGAAATGCGGTACAGTTTGACCTTTAGTCAAAAAAAAAGACAAAATTGAAATCATGAAAATTGAAATGATTATCAAAATTGAGAAGAAAGAGACACCTAAAATCGAATTCTTTTAGAGGTTAGCAGTTGAATAAAATAGTGCAGTGGCGTCGCGAAAGCACTAGAGTTAGAGAAAAGAGCAGACGCGTTTTGGCGCGAAAATTACCGCCAAATCCAAAGGTAGCCCAAAAAAATTATTAGGCTGACTGTTTTGATTGCTTATTTGTGTCATCTTAGGAAGCCTTTGGAGGTTATAACATTGCAATCGGACCGAGCTGGATTCATTATGCAACCGATGAAGAAACAGTTCCGATTTGGAATCTCAAGAAAGACACCAACCTGACAGGGGTGTACAGCGACTACACAAATATTATCATTAGGTATGTATCTTGTTTATATAGAGGTAGATAATTACATCTTAAACTTTCAACAATTAATGACAAAAAAACATGGCAGCTATGTTGGATGTTAGAGGTAGTTTGTAAACATTCACAAGAGAATGAAATGCCAAAAGACATGGCAGCCATGTTGGATGTTAGAAGTAGTTTGTAAACATTCACAAGAGAATGAAATGACAAAAGACATGGCAGCCATGTTGGATG